AAGATCTAAAAGTTTAATAATTTATAAATTAATAATAAATTTATTCAGATAATAAATTTATTTATTTAATTTATATATTTATTAATTTATAACAAATATACAAGTGAAACCCCTCATAGAAAATAAGACAAAGGGACTTCTGCAAGGGCATTCAAGGCCTCGGTAGTTGCCGAGGTTTAAAAATATTTATTAATATTTTCGAGTTCGTGAAAAATATCACAAAAATAAATATATAATATATATGTATATATATTTTGTAAATATATACATATTCCAACAATAAATAATAATTATTTCAAAATGAAAAACCTGATGGTATAATTTGCATTTAAAAATTGTTTGTAAAAGAATTTTCTGTTCTTCCTTTTCTTTTTTTTTTTTTTAACTTTGATTTATATTTTTATTTTTTTTCTTTTTTTTCTTGGAGCGGATGGATGGATGTATGTGTGTGTGTGGGTGAGTTTCGTTGTATTTGGAAAACATATAAACAAATGGCTTAGACGCAGACAATTGGGACATTTAGGGATACGTTTGGGGGTTTTGTAGGGATGTTTTTTTTTTCTTTTGTTATTTTTTTCGAGTGATAACATATAAGGATATACAGATATTGTTTCTTTCGTTTTACTTGCATTTTTTTATTAGCTTTGATTGTTTTTTTCTCTTTTTTCTTTGCTGCTTTTTTTGACCTGGTTTTTTTATATTTATTTTGGTTGCCTAAACTGGTAGATCGAACAAGTAGTTTGTTGTATACTTAATTCTTTTTTTTTTTTTTTTTTTTTTTTCGTTTGGTTAACAAAACATCAACAGAGATAATCGGTAAACTCATAAAGTGATTCATATATATCATTTATTTAATTTAATTTTTGATGAGATTTGTTTTTACCATAAAAAGCTTTGATCAAAAATCAAATGAAAACAAAGGAAAACGTAAGATCACAGAGAGATTCGAGAGAGAGAGAGAGAGAAAGATGATGACGGGGGAGATGGAGAATGTAAAAATAAAAAAAATAATTTATAAATAATTTATTAATTTATTTGTAAAAGGCGATCGGGGGACCATAACTTGTGGTGAGAGAGAGTGAGAGAAAAGGTGTGAATGGTGAAGAACCTTGGGAGAAACAGAAACAAGTCGAAGCTCGCATGCCAAAAAAAAAAACGATGAAAAACAAACGATACAAATCGATAAAAATCGATACAAATCGATAAAAATCGATTAGAAATCGATTAAAAATCGATAAAAATCATAAATCGTATGAATGGGTTAGTATGAATGTTAATATATCGCTTGATTGGTTGATCGGCTGGCAAAAAGGAAAACGAAAAAAAAAACACAAACAGAAATCAAACATAATACACATATAGACACGGTACACATAACACATACAATTATTCATATATATGGTATATATATATATAGATATATCGAGAGATTCGATTATTCTCAATTCTCTCATTTTGCCCTACAAAGTATGCCAACGGAAAAAACGATGGAAATTAAATGTGAAAATAAAAATATATTTATATGTAAATATATGTGAGAAAAACATACTCATGATATGCATATTTTTTTGAATTTTTTTTTAGAGTCTGGCTGTGTGTGTGTGTAAGTGTGTGTATGTGAGGGCGTGCTTGTGTCGGTGAGATATAAAAATTATGAATGCATTTTTCCGTTGTTACAGTTTTTTTTTTATTAATGCTTTATGTTTTATGTTTTTTTGTTTTGTCTTTACTCTTGTTGTCGTGTTTTATTTACATGAATGATTTGTTGACTTTTCGATCTCTGTTTTTCTGTATTTTTGCGGTTCCCGGTTGTGTTCTGTGTTTGTGTGTGTTGAAATGTAATTTAAAATCAACAAAAATAGTGGCAGGTGCAGAGGGTGATTTTGGTTACGTTTTTTTTTTTTTTTTAGGAATACAATTATAATGCAATTACAGAAACGATATATTTAAGGCAGACTTTTGCTTTAAATTAAAGTTCATTTTAGGCGAATTTTTGGATTTTTTTAAGAGATTTCGTTAAAGAATTATAAATTTTAAGGCTTTAAAAATCCATTTTAAATATATTTTTCAGGGAAAACATTTGGGACAAAGATGAAACCTACTTTTTGTCTTGAGTGTGACGTGTGTCTGTTTGTGATATTTTTTTTTGGGGGATGCATTTTTTACGGAATGAAAACCAAAGGCGAAAACAAACAAAACTCGATGCATTCGTGTGGATGGATAAATGGATCGATTGGATGAGGGAAACGTAAAAAATTCAGAATAAACTGAAGAAGATGCGACTGTAACATAGATTTCTTGGATACTTTTTTTTTGGTTTTTCTTTTTCCAAAAAAAAAAAACTTTGTACGTCTGTGTTTCCATTTTTTTTTAGTGTTTTGTTTTTTTTTTTTTTTGACTTACCAAGGTGTGAACGAGCTCCAGAAGAGACTACAAATTCACGGGTTGAAACGTAGGATTTTTTTTTTTTTTTTTGATTTGATATATTTTTTTTTTTTTTAGGTTTTTGCATGTGGGAAATGCACATTGATTTGGTGTTGAAATTTGATTTGGATTTTTGATTTTTTGGTTTTTTTTTTGTTTGGTTTAGCACACAACATGAAGGTATCGAGCCACAGCAACAGAGTAGGACAGTACACAATTAATTGACAGGACAATAAAAAAGAAATCAAAAGACAAAAATGCGTTTCGTTAACGAATTGATCAAACTTTGATATTGCTTAACAATTGGTAATAATTTTTCCTTTTTTTTGTTTAACTTTTAGCATACCTAAAGTGGAGATTTGTACTTTCATAGCTTAGTGAACCGAAAAATAGAAACGAAAAGGGAACGAAACGGAAAACAAACTGGTAACGAAACGGAAAAACGCTGAGAAACAAACGGAAAAGAACACATTTGACAAACACACTTAGTCGGATGATGAGACGTAGACGAAGACAGAGACGAAGGCGAAGGCGAAGGCGGAGTTCAGCGGGCATCTTCGGGTTAACTGACACATCATCTTGGTTGGTTTTAGTATGGTTAGTTGGTTAAAAATGCTCAACTCAGGCGGAAACGGAAACGGAACAGAAACGAAACGAAATGAAGAGGAAACCATAGGGGAAACGGGGGTATTGGAAACAAAAGTTTTTAAACTTAAAATCAATTTCGCTCATCGGTCTTCCTCAGTTTAAAAGTTTACTTTTTTTTTTGGGGAATCCTCTCTTCTTGGTCTTCGCATCGGCGTAGGTTTCGGGGGGTCTTTATAAATCAGAATCGAAATCATAGCAACAACTCAAGAGACACGCTATATCAAGTTATATATTGTATATATATATAGAACACAATGACAGACTAATCTGAAGCTTAAGGAAACGAAACGAAAGCAAATCAAAGTTAAAGAAAACTATCGATAATGTAGCTAGGTCTGGTTCTTAGTCGTAACACTTATATAGATCGATCTGGCCACTTACTTATACCTTTCTTCTGTAGGTTTTTAACTCGTTTCTATATCATTTGTTTTTGGTTTTATTTTCTTTTATATATATTTAGTACTTTTTTTTTATATATTTTTTTTTTTTTGGGGTTAGACGAACACAAGGAGGTTTACACTAGACAACACACATACTCAATGAAGTGCTATCATTATATATTCGCTTTTTCTCGTCAAATATTTCAGATTTTTCTTGCTCCATGTAGAGAGAGACAGAGAGAGTTCGAGAGAATGAGAGAAATGAGGCGGCAGAAAGGAATGAAAATGAAAAGTACAACCCGGAAAATTCGAAAAAACTCAAGGGAGAAAAAACTGAAGAGAGAGAGAGAGAGAGTAAGTAATTTTTGGTTTTGGAAAACTATGGAAAAGTATACATCTTTTTGTGAGTTTCTTTTCTTATTTTCGGGCATATTTTTTCTTTTCTTTTTTCTTCACTTATCTTCTTGGCTTTGCATTTCCCATTCAGGCAAGAAAAGAAAAAGCTCAAACTAGGAAAATTTCGGTTTTCCTCTTTTCTTTCTTTCTTTTTTTTTCTTTTGTGTTGGGAAAAATCAGAGGATCAAATCAAAGAGATCGAATCGGAACAAACAGAAGTGGAACGGAAACGGAAACGGAACGGAACGGAGGGGAGAGAACTCAGAGGAACAAGAGAAAAGAAAACTTTGAAAATTCAACATTTTGTCTTGAGATTCTTTCATTCTCATCTCAATATTATGTTTTGTTTAGTTCTTCTTTTTTTTTTAATATTTTTTCAAGCGCATAAATGATAGACTCATTGAGGGGAGAGAGGCGTTCGGGATTGTGGGAATGTGAATGGGTTTAGATTTTCATTTCTTTTGCTTCTTCTTGACTTTTTTTTTACTTCTTTTTTTAAATTTTTGTCGACTGATTTTTGATTGATTGAGACTAGAGTTTGGAAGTGTGTTTTAGTTGAAGTTTGGTTTTAAAATTAAAACAGATTTCTTTTGTTTTTCTTTTTTATATATTTTTGAGTTTGTAAAAGCATAACGTAAAAATGCCATATATGTATATATAGTTGGATAAATGGTGACTATATCTGGTTATATATACATATATGCGCTTCATACAGAATAAATTTGAGCTTTTTCCCTTCATTGCACCCGTAAAAGCTTAAAGAAAACACACACAGAACCGAAAACGGAAAAAGTTCAAACGCAATTCCAATGAATGAAAATTTTCTCAATCGCAAACCGGATCGTGTGCGGTGGGGTGCTCCAATTGCAACCCTCTACATATAATATATATATACTATATAAAGACGATCCGTGTTTGCAACTCAAAAACTCAAAAAAAACTCAAAAGATCGAAGAAAAAGTTAACTCAAGAGTCCCTCTCGTATATATATTGAGATTTATATATATATATGGTCAATGGTCATGGTTCAGATCCCTGCGCACTAAGAGTCAGACGCATACGTATATGTATATATATATATATATAAAGGCTATATATCGGGTATATATATATTCTAGGTGCTAGATCTTAGGCCAATGGCGCATCACTTACTTTTCGCTGTACTCGTCCATGTGGGCGTACGACTGCACCGAGTTCTCCTCGATGAGGAACTTGACCCTCTGGTAGAAGGAGGCCGTCACCGAGGGCGGCTGCTTACGGAGGAGCACCTCCACGGGATCGTTGGAGGACAGGCACATGATGTGCTCCGAGCAGGCGGGATGAGAGCAGCATTCGCTATCTGAACAATCGGTCATGCCATCTGTAGGGGGGAATTAGGGGGAGATATATATGATATATTCTATGTTTTTAGGAATTTTAAAACTATGATAAGTCTTGTTTTTATTATAAAATAAAAGCTAAGAGCGGAATATGTCATGTTAAAGACCCCACAAGTGCTGTTACGAGCCTAAAATGTTCTGTAATAAGCACATAATGCTTTGTTAGAAGCACAAAATGCACCAAAAGTGCTGTTATTAGGTCTGTTATGGGCACAAAATGCTCTGTTATGATTAGAAAATGCACCACAAGTGCTGTTATGAGCATAAAATGTTCTGTTATGATCACAAAATGCTCTGTTATGATTAAAAAATGCAACACTAGTGCTGTTATGATCACAAAATGCTCTGTAATGGTCTAAATATTCTCTGTTAGGAGCACAAAATGCACCACAAGTGCTGTTATGAGCATAAAATGTTCTGTTATGATCACAAAATGCTCTGTTATGATTAGAAAATGCACTACTAGTACTGTTATAATCACAAAATGCTATGTTATGGTCACAATATTTTCTGATAAAAGCGCAAAATGCGCCACAAGTACTTTTATGATTAAAAAAAGGTCTGTTATTCACGTAAAATGCTCTGTTATGGGCACAAAATGCTCTGTTATGAGCACAAAATTCACCACAAGTATTGTTATACTTAATGCTCTGCTTTACGCTCTGTTAAAAATTACTAAATACCATGTTAAATCACTTTTATTCAACTTACCGCCATCGTTATCGATATTATCCTTGCAGTTCAGTTCCAAGGCAATTGAACAATCGCTACCAGCCCATCCTTCAATACAATCGCAACGATATTCACCATTTTCCAGGGTACACTGACCGTGTCGAGAGCAACCATTTTCGCAGCCAGCTGTGTGAAAAATATTATATATTATTTATTATTATTATATATATTTTATATACGAATTAATATATATATATATTGAAGAAATTTTAACAAAAGCCCCATAAAGTAGGTAGCATAAGTGATTTTAATTCCCGTAATTGTTGGACGCCAAATAAATAATGCAAAACGGCATTTTAATGGCTATTAATGATTGCATATATATGTGTATATAAATTGACAAGTGTGTGGCCTTTTGCAAATTACAAGTTTTGTTTTCATTAAAATGCTAAAGGACTTCCCTCTCACACACCCTCCTCTCAGATAAAAAAAAAAAAAATTAATCGTCCTTTGTGAGCTGTAATTTTATTTAACGCTCTGAGATTTCTGCAAAATGGTTCGTTGTAATTAAGAGCAAACTGTCCGGATCGAGTGGCTTCAAATTGAATGATAACACGGGTATTTCCATTTGAAAAACCAAACTCCTCCACCCACCCAGCCACCGAGGGGTAGAGTCAACATCATGAATATAAAAATAATGTTGATGTTTGCTCTCACTCTCAGTGGCAGTTAACCTTTGGCTCGACGAAAATGTTGGGCAAACATAAAAACCCAACGGAACGTAACCTAACGATAGATGATTTGCCCTCATTTTTACTCTTTTTTTTTGTTGGGATACTCTGCCAAAGGGTACATTAGACTGAATGAGACTTTAAAAGAGCTATTAAAATGGAAGTTTTTCAGAAAAAATGTATAGGTTTAGCAAGACATTTGGGTTTTGGAAATTATAGAGTATTCTAGATATAAGTTTTTTGTTTTTTAAAATGTAGTTTTAAGCTCTTGAAATACTTTTACTAGCCTTTTTTAGAATTTAAATAATTTGTTTTATTTTTCATATTTTATATTGTTTATATTTTATTTTCTTTTTTAATCTGAATATTTTCCCAGAGTATCTTAAATTCTTCTTTACAAAACTTAGCCTTCTTTTTTCTTTTTTTTCTTGTTTTTTTTTTTTTTTTTTGTTACCATCATTCTGGCTTTATTTGTTTGTGCCACGACAGCATTTGACGCAAAGTTAATGTCACTTGACATGTGTCATTTGCAAAATGGGGTAAGGTAAGCGGCACAGCCCCTTTTCAGCCCCCATTCTCACCCAGACCCCCCCCTCCCCCCCACCTCCTTTTGCACCCCATTTCCAGGGAATGCTGCTAACTCAGCTTCCGGCATGTTAAAAAGTTTGCGGCGCATAAAATGACTTCCTCGGTTGTTACTGCCTTCCTGTTTACGAGGTCCTCTCGAGTCCTAACCCCCCTCCTCCTCCACTCTTTTTGAGTGCGTGTTTGTGTGTGCACATATTGGCAATAACTTCAAGTGTTCTTGTTGCAAATACTATATATATATGTATATAGATTGGAAAGGAGTTGGGGAATCTGTCAAATCTGTGTGGACTTGCATTTTAGACCACCAACTATAAAAGGCCAAAGAGAAATGGCCAAGTTTAGGGGTTACAAGATGGATTTTAAAACGAGATTGAAGAACTCAAATTGTAAGGAATATAAAGTGGCAAAGGAGAGAGTGTAAGGAAAGACACTTTTCTGCTATTATTTTAAAATACTTCAAGAGGTTTTCAAGACAAAAAGGAATTATTCAATCAATTAATTAAATATTTATATAAATTATTAAAAAATCTAAAAGAAAGTAAAGCCAAGATAGGAAGTTTAAGACTTTTTCTATTTATTAAAATTTATTTTAAGAACCCATAAAAAATAATATAAAATAATATAAAGTACAAGCTCTTAAACCCACATGTTTTTCCCTTATAAAAAGCCCATTTTAAGGATACAGGGATCCCCAAAAACCAAAAAAAAAGACCACCAACCGCATGTTTATTGTTTTCATAATCCATACCTATCCATTTATATATAAAACTATATATATGACTACACTTTTAACCTCGCATTTTCCATTCATATTCCCATTAGGTTTTTCTCTTCATTTTTTTTGTGTAAAGTTCAAGTTTGTCAGGTTTTTTTGTGTATTATTTTTATTTTAAGCCACAGTAGCGCTCTGCAGGTTTTTCACCTCCCTTATGGATATTTTTTTTATATTTTTTTTATTATTTTTATTTTTGGCTTTTCCACCCAGAGAGCTTATTTCTCCTCTATTTTATCACTTTCGGCGGACAAATCCCTCGCTTTTTATGCCTGGCCATTGAAAAAATGTTGTAATCTCCCCAAAAAACACACACTTCTGCACATATTTTACAATCCATAATAAAATCCCAGCAAAACATAAAAAAAATATACAAAAAAAGAACAAAAAAAAAATGGCAAAAGATGGGGAAAAACATTGTAAATATTTGAATGAGACGACGAAGGCGGGTGATAGAAATGGGAATAGAACAGGCAAGGAAGCCAAAAGGGGGGAGGCAATCTGGCAACTAAATGTAACTACGACATCAACTATGCATGGGGCTTACGAGTGTCTGTTTGTGTGCCCCTAAAAAGCATCCTAGAAACACCCTAAAAACCCACCAAAAACCGCCCTAGAAACACCCTAAAAACCCCACCTTTTCCCCTTTTTGAAAAGAGCCAATTGAGTGGAGTTTTCGGTGGCGCGTAATTCGCTAGAAATCTCTGTTTCGAATTCAATCAACTCTGCCGCATTGAAGTCGGCGGCAACTCGACTGCATTTCGGCTGAAAGGACTAATCTGTGCAGGGATGTGCCTCGCTCATGTGCAGACCCGGCAACAGACCTTCCACTCAGCCAAAAAGCGATGAATGTTTGTCTGTTTTGCTGAGTAATTTTCTGGCTAGTTTTGGGTTGTTAAAAAATTAATTTAGAAAAATTTAGAAAGACATTAAAAAGTTATAAATGGGTTTTTTTTTAAATATGTAGATATACAAAGGCTTTAACTAGATATTATTGGGTTATAAATTAAAAAAAAAAAAAAAATTTAAATATATTTTCAAAATAATAATAAAAATAATATTTTTAATTAAAAAAAAATATAAAATATATATTTAAGAAAAAATATCATTTTTAAATCTATTTCTTATTTTTTACCTTTTTTTTGATAAATAATAATTAAAAATAATTATTAGCTGAATTTAAAACCTATTTAAAACTGCTACTTCTGTAAATGTTAACTAAATTAAATAATAATATATTTTTTTTAAATATTTTTTTCCAATTTCTCAACAATTTGTAATATTTAACTTTCCTTTTTTTGTTGTCAATACTAATATTTTTTATAATATATTTTTAACAATTTTTAACATTTAATCTTTTTCATTTTTAAGGCCAACCCTTACCCAAAAGTCGTTAAGTAGCAACTTTCTAAAAATACAACAGCGAAACGCAGACACAGATACCGATTCTGATAGCTCCTTCTGTACCTATACCTATACCATATGTATTCTTGTTACTCCCCCCTGAAGCCACGCCCCTGCGCCACTTGAATCGATTGAAAGAGTGTCCCAGGGGGGAAGACACACACACAAACACACAGGGAAACAGGAGGAGGAGTATCCGGGAGAGAGAGAGGTCTACTAAGATTGCTTGTGACTCTGAATGACGTCGGAAGTTTTATTGGTTTTGCACACGTCAACGAAATGTTGATCGCAAGAGGGGCAGGCAGCAGGAAGCCAGAGCAAACGGAACAGGATAAAGAGGGGCGCCCGGCAGCAAAAGGGGTTCGTAATGCCATTACATGCATGCCTGAGCCGCCATCGCCAAGGGGGGCTTCTCTGCCTCGGTTGGATGTGTTTTTGCAACATGACTGTTTGTTTTTAAAGTTTTAATCACTGTCAATCGATAGCTACTTATCATGCTGCAGTGCCTGTATCCTGGCGAAAGTCGTATCCTTTGTTGCTCTTGTTTTTTTTTTCGGGTTGCCTCAAACAACATGGTTAAGTCATGGCGGCAAAACTGTCAAACGCACTTTCAGCCAACCAAAAAAAATAAAAAAAAAAGCGAGAAGGAAAATACTCTGGGAGGGAAATCCCTGAAAAGCAGGGGGGCGAGAAAATTCAAAAGAGGTTGGGTTTCTGGTAGAGCAAATGGCGTAAACATGTACAAAATACTTTGGTGCATCGAGCACCCAAAATGCCAGCAAAAATCAACCCGAAAAAAGCAGAAAAAAAACAGAAATTGATAAAAAGCATGAAAGTAAAAAATAAAAAAAAAAAACTTAAAATCAGCCAACGACAGCGGCAGTAACATTGACAGCCAAGGCGGGGGCGTGGCAACTGCAGGCACCACCGCAATGTTGTTTTCCCATCGATTTTTCTTTCTTTTTTTTTTGGCCACAACCCCAGGGAAATAAATATGTTTTGGGGAAAATCTACAAGTTCAGCAAACAGAACCAAGTGTTGCTGGGAATATTTTAAAATTAAATTTAATTTTGTTGTAGGTTTAATTTAATTTTAAATTAAATTTCTATGGTTTTGTTAGGCTTTTTTGTTGGGTTTTTGAGAGTTCGTATAACTTAAACCGTTTGAGAATTTTAATACAACGTAAAAGGAAAATTCAAATTTAATGTTTAGGAATTACAATTTTTTTAAAATTGAATTTTTTTTTTAATATTTTCTATAATTTCAAATAAATATTTAAAAGCTTATACGTTTCAGCAGCTCTCTCTGTCTTTTAATTTTTAATTTTTTAATTTCAAGACTTTAAATTCTTTTAAAAATTACATTTTTAAATATTTTCCATGATTTCTGTTACGTAAACTTCTTTAAAAAATTAAATATTAAAATTAAATTAAGATTTTTATAAAGTCTCTAAAAGCTTTTACGTTTCAGTAGCTCTCTCTGTCACTTAGCTAAGTTTTTACTTGAAAAATTTAGTGCAATGCTAGCGGAAAAATTCAATTTAATTTTAATTTGAATTAATCCTTATATAAAAATTAAATTTCTATAGTTTTTTTTTATGAGTTCTTAATATATTCAATGATTTTTTTAATAGCTTTTACAGCTCAAACAGCCTCTCTCTTTCTTTTAGAGGTTTTGCCAAATTCCAACTTGGGAATTCTAGTGCGATTCTAGCAGCATTTTACTTTATTATTTAATTTTATTATTTACTTCCTAAAAGTTCTCTTACTGAATTTTTAATAAAAGTTGTTTAACTGATTGGCAAATAGTTATAGAATTTTTTTAAATATTTAAAATTATACATTTTTGTTGATAATTATTTGTTTTCCCCCCAATTTTCACTCTCTGCATTTAAATCATAAACTAAAACTATAAAATCTGTATACTTACGCAGCGTGCAGTGACGGCCATTCCATCCTTGTGAGCAGACGCAGGTGCCATTCTTGCATTGGCCATGTTCCGAGCAACGTGAATCGCACGGCAGCTGGTCGCACAGGTTGCCGGTCCATCCGGAATTGCAACGGCATTTGCCGGACTCACATACGCCATTCCGGCCACAATCCAAACTGCAGACAGCTGTGTACGGGAAATGAGATAGAAATAAAAAATATAGAAATTAGAAGGTTTTATTTAAAGGTATTTAATTAATTTTTTTAGAGAATTTTAACTACCAATTAAAGTTGGCTTATTAAATTACACTTTCTTAAACTCAAACAGCTTGTTTTTCAGATATACTTGTGATAAATATTTGTTCATGTACGCATTTAAATTCATTAAAGCCTCGGCGACACAGTCTCTGGAGGGGAGGGGGCAGGAAGAGACCGAGGAACCATAAAAACAGCATTATAAATGTAACATTTACGTGGTGGCACACTTTGCTAACAAGACTCACACCCCTCCTCCTCCCGCTTTACGCTTTTCCAACTGAGAGCAACTTTTTCCCATGGATTTTCCCCCAGCTGGAAATGGTCAAATGTTCTGGTTCACGGGCTACACATTCGCTTCATGTTGGGTTACTTTAGGGATCGAAGCCTGGGACATGATTTGCTTGACTTGTCCTATTCTTTATGGCTTTTAAATTAAGATTTTTGCCAGAGCTTAATCATAAATTTAAGGTTGATTTTCTTGAAGATTTTTTAAAAGAACTTAATAATATGTTTAAGGTTGATTTTGATATAAAAATCTGATTTGGAATTTTTGGTTTTAGATTGCTTTTGAGGGGTGGCTTCACTTTCCCTTCTCTCTTCCAGCTTTAATTTATGGTTTAGTTCATAATCTAAGCTTTTCCGGGGGGTTGTTTTTCCCTGGCTATACTACATGACTTTTGTTAGCAGGCGTAAATTTATTTTATTTGCTTTTTCTTTTTTTGTTTTTCTGGCAGTGCCAACCTGGCGTATTAAATAAATAATGAATTTTTATGAGACTCTGCTTCATTACGCAGGCAGGAGTCGTCAACGTGGGCTACCCCCAATGCCATATATATACACTCGTAAAAATCTTAACCTAAAATCGGTCTAAAAAGTAGCTTTCTTTTAGGGGAAATTTTCTTAATTTAAGGAAAAATTTCTTTTACTTTCAGAGCAACTAAGTCTTAGCACACATCTAATAGCACTCATGGATATAATAACACAAACACACAACACCACATGTGCACACAACTAGCTTTACCTCTGGCCAAGACCAGTCACTTGGTTCCGAAGATGCTAGAGCCAATTGGGAATTATAAGTGTACACATGTGGAATTTTTAGTATTATCAATTTTAGAAGAAATTCGCCATGGTTTTAATGGAAAATTTACAAGCAAAATAAGTGGAATTTGGCTTTCAATTAATACTAAAAAAATTATATTTATAATGCCTTAATTTTATAATGTTTTGGAACCTTTTTCTAAATTGTACATTTTTCTAAATTGTTTTTAAAGTGTATATATGTATCCTATATAGTATGCACCCCATCCCAACCGAATCCTAAACTCTCACTCCCTTAGCTACCTGGCTTCTACCTCCTTTCTGGTGCTAAAAAGTTAAGCAAATTAGGAGTGCGTGCCTCAGCGAGACGTGTCCGTGTCCTTTGGCCTTCGGTGGCATCATAAGCTGCTTGTTTTATTGAGACCCCCAGCTATTGCTCTTGTTCCAATCTCCTGCTTTTGCTCCTGTTCCTGCTCTCCATTATTATGGACCCCGGTTGTGGGCCTAATTGGAAGTCCCGGCTTTATGGCTCAGCATTCCATTCTAATTTCGGGTTTAGTTGTGGCCATAAAACATCATCATATTCGCCAGGAGGAGCCAGGAGTAGCAATATATATATATATCTGACAGATCTCGAGAGTGATTGGACCCCGGCTATATGTACCTGATTTTATGGCTACTATGCTTTAGGGCCACCTTGCTTAGTCTTTTTGTACTATTTAAGGCCACACAATTAGGGTTTTCTTGATAAATTTTCAGGGATTTTAAATGAAGGAAATTTCTAGTTATTTTAAAATCAAGTTTTGACTTCTTTAAAGTAGTTTTGTGTCAGGTTTTCATTAGTTAAAACATTAAACATATTTTTTGAGAAAAGGAATTTCTGGAATTTGAGGTTTACAAGCTATGGTTTGAGATTTACTCACCTTGCGAGCAATCTGGTCCCGTCCAGTGCCTCTCGCAGACACATTGTCCCGTCTCCAGGTCATAGGTTCCATGCTCAGAGCAGCCGGGCAAACACTGATACACCTGCTGGTCAATGGTGCCGCAATCCTCGCCCTGCCAGCCAGCCTTGCAGTAGCATTGGCCGGCGACACAGGTGCCATGTCCGGAGCAGAGTGGGTCCAGGCAGTCGTCTGTATTGATTCCCATCATCATCAGCATCAGGGTCGGGTTTGAAGGGTCAGCATTTGGTTTTTAGGGTGAGAGAAAGAGTACAAAAACGATTGTTAGTCAACACACAAAAAATAGGTAACAGGATCAAGGGATTTATTATAAAGGGGAAGGATTAAGGTAAAGGCTTTTGGAGGTTATGTTATGATTTATGGGTTATATGTTATAAGACTAGGTTTTATAGGTTTTATATATGGATTGTTTTTGGTGTAAATAAATTATGGTTACTACTTTATTTTTAATTTTTGTCTGGACTTGTCTTAATTATTCCTTAAATTATTTATCTAATTTTAGCTTTATTTTTAATGATTTCCTTAAAGTTTGTTTACCTTTAAATAATAATTTTTAAAAATCTAAAAAAAACTCTATTCTTGGTTTATATGCAATATTTCCTCAATAATTTATATGTTTTTAGCTTTATTTATATTTTAATAATTTTTTTTAAACTTGTAAACCTTTAAATATTTATTTTAAAAAAATCTAGAAAACTCAATTGTATAAAAAATATTTTGTATATTTTATTTTTAAAAAAATCTTTACTGTAAACTCTATAAAAAAATATTTATTTCCTTAATTAAATGATTTTTTAATTAATTACCTAATGGCTGGTAATTATTTAAGGCTTAATTTCACTAAGAAAATAATTAAAAATATAAATTGCCCAAGAATAACTTTTTAATTAGATTTAAAAAGGTTTTCTACTGTAAAATCTATTGAAAATATTTATATTCTTAAAGAAATCAAGCTCAAATTAATTCCGTGTGATTCTATTACCTAAAAATAACTATTTTATTAGATTTAGTAAAGTTTTTTTTACTATAAACTCTATTTAAAATATATATATATTCTTAGTGACAGTTTTTGTACCTAAGAATATCATTTTCTATAGGAGATTCTACCTTCTCTATGGGTATTCTACCTTTTCTCTATAGTTTCCACTTAATTCCCCATACAAAACAAGACTCATAGAAAGTCACTTAAATTTACTAATATAATACTATATATCCTCTTGTATATTTTCTTATATATCATTCCATAGAATCTCCCTTATATTCTCCCATATATCCCATATTTGTTGGGGGCATTGAAATCGTGACAGTCGTGGCTAAACAAAAAGCTTTGGCGCTTTGGCTTAGGTGCTCCTCCTCTCTCTCCTCTTTCTCTCCTATTTTCTTTATTTTTTTTCCTTTTGGCCAACTCATACACACACACACACACATGACATGATTAGTATGTTAGACACGTACGAAAGTGGTCATTAAAATGAAATTCCAGTTTAGTTCAAGTTGGTAATTTTGCGCAGTTGTTGCAATTTTTTTTCCACAGTTGTTTTGTTTTTTTGCTTTGACTTTTCTTTCCTTTTTCCGCTCTTTTCTTTTTTCTTTTTTTTTTTTTTCTTTCTGTGGCCTGCTGATATTTTACTTTTCGTGTATGAGAAATATGCTCTCGACATATAAATTCGATTTTATACGTTTTATGTTTGCTCAACGGTTTTTCCTTTACTTCTGACATTTTCTCTGTTTTTTTTTTTTTTTTTTGTATTTTCTGGCTTCTGTTTCTGTTTCGGATTCTGTTTGTTGTTTGTCCCTGTTTGTTTTTGTTTGTGTATGCCAAGGGTCTCAGGGTTCTCTCCCATATTTAAGTACATAAAAAAAAAATGTGAAAAAAAAGAAACGAAACGAAACGTACAGCAAACACAGACACATTCCACGTATTGTTGCATATTGCATATTTTATGTGCCATTTTTTGTGCTACTTTTACGACAAGGTATATGGGTTTTTTAGTATAAAATACAACCTGAATTTGTTTATGAAATTTCTTGTGAGCATATATTTTAATTAAATTTAAAATTTGCTATAAATCAAATCTTATAACTTTTATTAATTTTTAAAATAAATAAGTATAAAAGTGAAACCTTTTAAAATTATTTTTTAAGTATATCTCCCACACCATTACCCATTTTTTTTAGTTTCTGTCAAATTCCCTCTCTTGGCTGACAAATTATTTAACAATTCTTTGTTTTTACAGCTTTTCCCTGTCCTGTTTTTTCCCCTTTAAAATGCTTCTCGGCTTTCGTTGCCTGCTTTTAAGCTAATTCAAAGTTATCTCCGTGCGAAGAGTTGGTAAAAATTGTTGGCATTTCTTTGCTTCTTTCGCTTTGTCAATTTTCGGGGGCCAGAATATTTTTTTTGTATATTTTTTTGGGTAGAAGAGGAACGGTGGAGGTGTCGGCATAATAACTGAAATATTTTGGCATCCACTTGGACCGTCGACGTTGTCGTTGGGTCCCTTTTTGCCCAACGTCCACCACGTGTCCTTGTCCAAGGCTCTGTGGTGTCCTTATCGGGCAGTGTCAACATGGCCCCGGAACCGAGAGGCCTGGCTCCAAATTGCAAACAAGGCAAATAAATAATTTTAGCATTTTTATGCCAAGTCAGCGGAAGGCAAACACTGAGCGAAAATTAATAAGCTATTAATATAAAAAAAATATATATTTAAAAAAAAATACTAGAGGGAACTCGAAGAGTAAGACTTTACCAATCTCTATTTTTCTGTCTTTTTAAATTTAAATTTAATTAAAATTTAATGAATAAACCCCTCTTACATTTTAGTGTATTTTTTGAAAAAAAAAAAGTCCTTGACACTTACGTTGATCGCAATAGGGTCCTTTCCATCCACGCTCGCAGTGGCATTCGCCCTCGATGCAGCGTCCATGGCTGGAGCAATTGGGCACCTCGCATTCGCCCACTGGAATGTCGCACTCGGCGCCCTTCCAGCCCTCCTCGCAGTGGCAAACACCGCCGCCATAGTGTCCATGGGCCGAGCACAGGACGGGACAGACGCCTGTAAAAATGGAAAATGGTACAAAATTAGTGAAAAAGCTTAACAAAAAACAAGAAAAACCCGGCGAGTTTTGGGGTCAGTCTGTGGGAAAATAAAATAAAATCAAAAGGAAAAGAGGCTCTTGATAAAGGTAAAATAATACTAAAAAAAATATACAAAATAATACCAAAATACGATTAAAATAATACTACAACAATAACAACAAGTAATACCACAATTTAACAATAATAATACAAATAAATTCGTCAACCCTACATAATTAGTACTCCAATAATACTAAAAAAACATATCACTACATTACAAAAATATTTCTAAAATATTCCAACAATACAACAACACTACAAACTAAAAAAAATCTTTAGAAAACAGTGCAATAATAGAAAAAATAAAACTATAGTTGTATTAAAAATTACAACAATACAACAACAAAATTACAACAATACAACAGCAATATTACAATGCAACAACAATATTACAACAATATTACAACAACACTACAACAATACCACAACAGTACAACCACAATATAACAACAATAGAATATTAACAAATTATAACGAGAAAAAAAAAAAAGGAAAAAAAGACTGGTAAAATCAAAACACCCAAAAAACTAAAACTTAACCTAAATAATTAACCCCATAAAATAACTTTAACACTTACTCTTCGAACAATCCACGCCCTGGTAGCCATCAATGCAGTCACACTTGCCCAGGTAACAGCTGCCACGTCCAGAGCAATCATTCGGACAGGTGGTGCTAACACCCTCGGCCTCCTCGGCCAGCAGGGACACCGAATGGGCAACCAACTCATCGTTATAGACCGATATGAACCATAGACCCGTATCCAGATACTGCAGCAGGGACACATTCACCGTCATGGCGTCCACATCGAGAGCGGGCAGACCGGCATCGCCAGCGGATCTCTTATTGAGCCAATGGCTACCCTGCGGCTTGCCGATCCTCTGCAGATGCTGCTTGGCCGTATCTAGCGGTGTCTCCACATCGTAGGCCTCACTCGATTCAAAGCTGTGGCTCTCATCCAGCTCGGAGTCCTCTCGATCGTGTTCTTCCAGTAGACGACTCCGGTCGCGCTCCTCCTCACGAAACAGTTCCACATCTTGTTGGCCACCGGCGGCAATGGAGTTCATGGATCCGTTGGAGCTGCGACGATGTCGCAAATGGCTATCAAGACGTCCGCCCTTGATGAACTCCACAAAATCATGCTGCGTCACGGACGGGGCCACATTGCGGCGGGAATAGACCGCAAAGTGGGCGCCCCAGGGCAAAGTAAAGTTGAATCTGATAAAGGCCGGATGCTTGTTGCGGAATTCCAAAGTCCAGAACTGATAGGCGGGTATGGTGGCATGGTAGGCCTCGTTGAACTCCTTCAGCTCGACGACGCCGCCAAGCTGCGGCTGCAGCGCCTGATGGTGATGATGGCCGCCAGCCAGTCCTCCGTTTGGCTGCAGCAGCTGACCACCGCCCAGTCCGCCATTTAGGCCACCGTTTGAGCCGGCTATGCCGCCGCCGTAGGTGAGTTGCTGGTGATCCTGCAGCTGGGTATTCGTGGCATCCAACGGTGTCAGCGGCTGGTTAATCGAATGCGGCTGCTGTTGTTGCAGCAGCAGTTGCTGCTGAATGCCCGCATTGCCACCGACTCCGCCAACTCCATTGTTACCCGACGCCGCATTCAACCCGTTCTGATGGTTGTGATTGTGGTCCGAGGTGCTGGTCTGGATCGATTCCTCTGTGGGATAGGCGGTGGCCACACCCTTCTCATTCGCCTTGGCCAGGCCGCCGCGCAGGTCGTGGGGCTGTGACTTGACGTCCTGCACTAGGATGCAGTTGGTGCTGTCCATGTTCGGCTTCATTGAGTTGACTGCTGCAAGGGATCAGAAAAAAGGGGGGAAAGGAGATTAGAAAATGATCTAGCAAAGAAATTAAGTTTATTATTATTATCGATATTTATTATATAAACATGGATATTATTATTAATATTATTCATATGCTGAAAAATACGCTTTTTGTATAGACTTGAAAATTGTTTTTTAAATTTTTTTGATGTTTATCGATATTAAGAAATTTTTTAGAAATTTATATTTTATCGAAATATCGATAATACCGATTATTAGTGATTTTTTCTGCCACTTTTTTGTGTTATTTAGATGTTTCAATTCGATAAACAAATTTTTTTTTGTATATCGATATTTATCTAGGAAATCGATATTTTGGCCTCCTAAGTATATTTAAGATTTAAAAGCATCGACTTTTAAATGCATTTGAAATTAAATAATTATATTCAATTGACAAAAATATATTTATGCTTTAACTAAATATTGATTTATCGATTATTTAAATATATTAAATGCAATTCCATTATATCGCCACCTATAGCCATTATATCAGCTTGTCATAATGCAAATTTAAATTTTAAAATAATGAATGTCTCCTTGTATTTATAGACATTTTATAAAATATATATATATATTGAATATTTCTTGCGTCAAAAAGTGCAATTAAGGTTCTGAATTATGCCTGTTCCGATGAAACAGCATATAGCTGCTGCTTTGCGTTCGTCTTGGCTGGATTTTCGATTCGGCTTTGGCCAAATGTGCGCCCATAAATCGACAGAGACGGAGACAGAGAGACAGAAAGAGAGAGAAGAGCCAGCGTAGAGAGAGATGGTAATAAATTTTGGTCCTCATGCTGCCATTCGGGCCAAGAGAATCGCAATAATGTCTTCTGTGGTGCTGTAGTTGGTGGCTTCAGCTGCTGCACCGCCCTGTTTTTCACACATAAATTTTGGCATCATATTTTAACGCCATATTAATATGCACACGAGTATAAATCAAAAACTACCCCACACACTAGCACACCAGCACACACACAAGCACACACACACACACACAGAGAAAGTGGCCGTTGTTAACACGTTTGCATTTTGCTTGGGCAAAATGGAGGCAGGTCCTGGCTATCGTTTATCGATAACTATGGCCAGCAATTTATGGCCATTTGGCAGTGGGAATGCGGCGCCAGCAGGTCCAGGACCTGGCCAGCAGGACATGCGAAAAAAAAAAAATCGAGCCAAATGATTGAAGGACTGAAGCTGAAAAAACTGGCTTAAGCTTGCAAGTTCTTTAGTAGGATTTTTTTTAAACTACTTATTTATTATTTAATATATTTTCTGGTTTAATTATTGTTTAAATAAATTATTTAATGTGCTAATAAATTTATTTATAATTTTCCAAACCAAATAAAAGATTGATTTCAAATCTTTAATATTTTCTATCCCCTTTCTTGTTATTTCTGGCGAATTTTTTTGGAACCCCCTATTTTTGCTTATTTAATATATTTTAAAAATATTATTTTCCGTTTTAAATTTTACTTAAATTAATTATTAAATATATTTATAAACCTAAGAAAAAATTAATTTCAGATTTGTAAAATATTTTCTATCCCCTAAGAAAATTCTTGTAGCTAAACCTTTACCCTAGAGAATTTGCCTGAAACTGAAGGATTCCCAATGATGTATTTTTAGTACACCCTTTTTCTTTTTTGTTAATTTTTCTGACAGCTTCAATCGCGTCATCAATCACCAGACACCCACCCAACCATCATCGAGTGGCTCAAATCATCTCACAGGAAAAACCCTGGCGAGCAATTAACCATAAAGCGGTATATCGATCGAAATTATGCTAATGGGACATATTCGACATGGCTTTATACATACATATATAAATAGAGTCTATATACAGTGCAAATAAATATATACTGGCTACCGATTCCAATTTCAATTCCAGGAACAGGACACAAAACCAATTCAAGGGAAAATAAGGAGAATATTGAAGGAATACGGCGGGTATCATTAATAAATTAAGAGCTCTCCTCGGCCCAGTTGGTTCTATTAAGTTAACAAGCTTTTCATTCGAGTGTCCTGGCCTGGCCTGGCCAAACCCCCCTCTCCATAATAACAAACAATGGGAGAATTTCCTGGCCTTCTTTTGGGTTTTGGTTTCGGGTTTCCCATCCCCCCTTCAAACGGTTGTTTCTTGTGCACCAATTAAATTTGATTACAATTTGGTTTTCCCCCCCACAAAATATATATAGATCCATTCATTACCACCCCTCCCGTGTTTTTACTCTCGCTAATTGTTGTTTAGTTAGTTTTCTTTTTTTTTATGAGACTAGCAAAGAAGCCAAGCTAAAGTTGTATACATTTTTTTAGACATCTTAGGGGGGAGACAGAGAGGAAAATAAAAAAATATATATAAAATTTATAACATATATATAAAATATAAAAAAAATATAGAAAATATTAACAAAAATATAGAAAATATAAAGAAAATATATAAAAAAAAATATAAAACGTTTTAAAAAAATATAGAAAATATAAAAAAAAAATATGGAAAGTATAAAAAAAATATAGGAAATATAAAAAAAATATAGAAAATATAAAAAAATATATATAAAATATAAAAAAATATATATAAAAGGTTATTCTTACATATTTTAAATAATTACATATAAATACCATATGTAGTATATATACTAATTTTACTATAATTTGTATATATTAAAATTATTAAAATATATAAAATATAGAAAATCCATTTAATTCTCTGACTTTTTATTTTACTTTTAATAAACCTTAAAAACAGACCTAAAATCCTCATAAAAAAAACCATAAAATTGTTATATATTTTATTGCGGTGCATCTGCACATCATTAGTGTGACATATGCCGCCCTCGATTTCCTCGATTTCTCCCCCCACTCCCCTCCACTTCTTGTTTAACTTTCTTTTTTTTATTTTTTTAGCATTTTTCCATTTTCCCCACATAACACACACACACACACAGAGCACTCCTTTGGCTTTATTTTTAGACCCACTCGAGTGAGTTCTGCTCCAGTTGCTGCCTTTGGCTGAAAGGCTCAAAGGGTGTGCAACGGATGTGTTCGATTAATTATTTCCGCCTCCTGCGAAGTGGGCAATAACTTTAGAAGCTCTCCCCCCGCTGCCCTCGTATACACCTAGCTAGCCAGGCCATGAATAAAAGAGTTCTCGACTAATGAGACACATCATCAGGTCTTGGCCCTGGCCACACTTTTGCCTAATTGCTCCAGCCGGGTTAGAAAACTACGACGACATCACCGAAAACTAGGGCCATGTCCAAGAGTCCCAGAGTCCAAGAGTCCAGTGTCAGGGTCAGGGCTTTTCCAGAGGCAGGAAAATTTATGAAACATTTTCTTAATTGCACTTCCTTGAGGAAAATAATTTATTTAAACGACATGCGCACACCTTTGGCTGAGGGGAGAGAGAGAGACGATAGAAAGGCGGCGCCACGCCCTCTGGCCATTACAGCTGCCAGTGACAAATGTCCTTTTTCGTGTGTGTGTGTGTGTGTGTGTGTGTGTGTGTGCAAGTGTGCCAGTGTGTGTGTGTGCATTTCGTTTTGTTTTGTTTTGTGTAATTTAAATTGAAATGTCTTTCAATATGTTTTCTGGACTTCTGCACAGGATTCCCACAGAAAAGCTTCATTTTATTTGGTAAAATTTGCAGTTTTAAAGGATGGCAAAATATAAGCAAATCGATATATAACGATATAAAACGATATTTAAAATATATTAAATATTTATGTAGTATTTTTATATGCTTATGGAACACATAAAAATAACCTCTCTTGTTTTTAACTTTAAAAAAAACTTTAGCTTTTACCGATATTTTTTTAGAAATATTTTTTTTTTTTCGATAAATATTATCGGCATTTTCAATATTTATCGATATCATACCATTTTTTTCAAATTAATATTTTTTCAATTATTTTCAAACATTTTCTTCTACAGCTTCCTAGCCTCCCTTTATTATTTTCAAGTTTTAAACAGAAAATTGATTCCATTTCTAAATTTCACCGCCTTTTTCCTCCTTTATTTTAAATGATTTTAATGCCAACGCATTAATTGAAACCGCCTGTGTTTTTGGTGTGTGTTTTCCTCAAATTTCTCATGTTTTTGCGGAGGAGCCAAACACACACAAGCACACACTGGCACACACACACACACACACACATTCTTTGGCTCGGAATTTTCGCCTCAATTCTCGTCCATTGCTAATTGACTTTCTTTGTTGCGGTTGTGCGTGACGTTCGCATTTCCGGATGATTGGCCCCTCCGCTTGGCCACGCCCTCCCTCCCCCTCTGGGCATGTTTACCATTTACCATTTTTCATCTACCATTTACATCCACCATTTACCCAAAAATACAACAAAAACAACACGAAAACAAAAACAAAAAATGAGGAAAAAGGAAACACAAAATGCGAGCAGGACAATTTCCGAGTGCTTTGCATAATTCGCTAGGCTAGGCTAGGCTGGGCTAGCCAGGGCACATACAAAAGAGAAGGAAACCGCAGAAAAATGAACAATTCCATTCACTAATTGGCAGCTCGCCTGGGTACAGTGAAGCCCCCGGAATCGGACAGCGTTTTGTTGTGCTGTTTTGTTGTGCATTTGACAGGACACATTGCGGTTTTGGCGTTTGTCTATGGCTGAAATTGAAAAATAGCCAGGACGAAAGTCAATTACCGAAACGAAAACGATGAGAATGTGTTGTCAGTTTTTTTCAAGGAAAATATTCAATTCAAATGTTTTGTAAGTAAGAAATATAAGAAAAGTAAAAGTAACATTTCTTGGGAATTTTTAAGGATATTTAGTGTAAGGTTTAATGGAAATAATATAACAATCAATTTAAGGGAAGTAAGGCAATAAATAATTTATTATATTTATTTTTTGAATTATATTTCCTTTTAAAAACCAAACAAAAATTATTTAAAATTATCTGGAAAAATATTAAGAAATTCCCTACATTTTTTTGAGAAGGACATTTAC